AGGCAAAGGACACGAGCAATTTACCCAGCTTCGGAGCTCTCCGGAGAGATAACACTCCTACTGCTACCTGTCTGATTGTATTATGTTCTTGCTCGAGAGAGCTAAGTGTTTTTTTGGGTCCGAACCCCCTCTACGTTGCGCATGGGCCTCTTTTTATATGCTAAAAGGGTCACCGACAGGTGGCAACGCAGAGAAGGGTACAAATGTAAAAGGCGAGGTAGTTGGTACAGTTACTTGTACAGTGTTTTCTACCTAACCCTGACGGCAGGGGACAAAGGCATTAAATGCCCGTCTTAGTCGCCCAAACAGCGCAGAAAAGGACCGTCAGGGGCGCCAGCGTTCGCCACGATGGCGATCTTTGTCAGCTTCGCATGCCACCACGCACCGCTGGCTGCACAGCCATCCGCCACGCGCGCCTGGGAAGGCCCCAAAAACGACACGTTGGTGGATGTGCTGGAGCGTGGATACAGAGTGGCCGCCTGCCGCGGCAAGCGCCTTGCCACGGCCATTGTCTTGCCGGGCCCGGAAGCTTGTCGCCCACCGGGCCTCGAGATGCCTTGGTTAGTCTTCTCGGCAAGCTCCTCTTGCCGGGGCCTTGTTGCCTTGCCGGAGCGCGTCGCGGCAAGTTCCTTGGAATGTCTTGGTTGGCCTTCCCGGCAAACTCCTCTTGCCGGGGCCTTGTCTCCTGAGCTTAGATACTTTGTTCTTGAGTGGCTCCCAGGGAACCACGGAGGACCTTGGCGGTCGCCCGGCAAGCCTTGCCGCGGGGCGCTGCAACTGCCCGTGCACAAATTCGGGGTACTAGGGGTGGTACCCCTATTCTAGTACACCGACATTATCTGTAATGACAAGGGCAGTAGACTCGTAATCACAACACGGGAAGGCCACGTTGCTGCACTTGCCTCTGCAGGACATGTCCTATCTCTGGAAGCTTTACCAAAAAATAAAGCATGGGAGCTCTTTTGTAATACAGCATTCCCAGGAGATACAAATCATAAATGCCCGAAAGAAATGACAAAATTAGCACATCAAGTAGTAAGCAAGTGTAAAGGCATACCTCTTGCCATTGTCTCTATTGGTAGGCTCCTCTTCAGGCGTGACAAGACCAAAGAGGAATTGAAGTGAATACACGACCAGCTCAACTGGGAGCTATTTTTTTTTAAAGAAAAGGCATCGGCCGAGCCCGAGTGGAGGCTCGAACCTAGCCCGGCTTTGAATTAGCAAAGCCATCAACCGGCTAGGATTACATAGAACCACATTACAATGAAAAGAAAACAAAGCGGAGCAGAGATACATAGCGCTAAGAGGAATGGCTCAAAAGGCAACAACGCAGTGTTGCCAACGACCACCGCAATGTCAAACAAGCAACCAAACTAAGGCAACCAAACTGGGAGCTATTTAATAATCCAAGCTTGGAACATGTCAGGAATATCCTTTATTTGAGCTACATTTACCTTCCGACACACTTGAAAAGTTGTTTCCTATACTGCAGCTTGTTTCCAGAGGACTATCTCATGAGAAGAAAAAGACTTATAAGGTTGTGGGTAGCAGAGGGGTTCATCGAGAGAAGGGGTGAAAGCACAATGGAGGAAGTGGCAGAAGGTTATCTAAAGGAGTTGGTTCAAAGAAATATGCTACAACTTGTTCAAAAGAACTCATTTGGTAGGATGAAATCATTCCGGATCCATGATATCATGCGCGAGTTGGCAGTAGATTTATGTCAGAGAGAGTGCTTTGGTGTTGCATACGAGGAGGATAAGCATACAGAATATATTGAGGAGAAGGATGGACGTCGACTGGTAATACACAAACTGAAGAAGGGAATATACCAATCACCCTCAAACTTACACCGCCTTCGATCTCTCATTGCATTGGACATTGGTACTCCATCATCCAGTCTACTGCCTCTAATAGTGGGGATGTCAAGATATATGTCGGTACTGGAGCTAAGTGGCCTACCCATTGAGAATGTTCCAGATGCTATTGGAGATCTTTTCAATCTCCGCCATTTAGGTCTGCGTGGTTCAAAGGTGAAGGTCCTCCCTAAGTCTGTTGAGAAACTTACAAATTTATTGACACTGGACCTTTTTGGATCTGATATACAAGAGCTTCCTAGAGGGATTGTCAAACTGAAGAATCTTAGACATTTGCTTGCCGAGAGAGTGTATGATGCAACTTGGGCAGAATTTAGGTCTGCTAGTGGTGTACGTATCCCCAGAAATCTTGGGAACCTGACAAATCTACAGACATTGAATGCGTTAGATGCACAGGATGAGTCTCTAGGTTGTTTGGGGGAGCTTAGGCAACTAAGAAGCTTCAGGATATGGAATGTGAAGGGAATCTACTGTGGACGCCTGTGTGAATCCCTTGTTCAGATGCAATTTTTGTCTGTGCTAAGTGTGAATGCAAGTGATAAGAATGAGGTTCTCCAGTTGAATGCTCTCCCACCAAATCTGAAGAAGCTACGTCTGACTGGAAGATTAGCGGAAGGGACATTGTGCGAGTCTCTCTTCCAAGCCGTGGGTCAGAACTTGTATTCGTTGCATCTATATTGGTCCGAGTTGAAAGAAAACCCCCTGCCATCACTTTCTCAGATGTCAAATATGACAGACCTAGATTTGACAAGTGCATATACTGGAGAGGAGCTGATATTTCTCACTGGCTGGTTTCCTAATCTAAAGACCCTCTTTCTTAGAGACCTTCCTAATCTGAAGCTGCTAGAGTTTAAAAAAAATGCCGTGGCGAGCCTGGAAAGATTGATACTGATCAACCTAAATAGCATGACGGAGGTCCCACCTGGCATTGAGTTCCTTGGGCACCTTAAAAAGCTAAGCTTTGCCGGAATCACCCCCGACTTCCTGATGTTACTGCGCCAATGTTCTAAAATTGGCAGGGTGCGATGGCAGCATTCTCTACGCCATTGACCGCTACTGGTCTGGACATGCATAGGTATGTAAAACACTCAACTACTGACTGGAATTTCCATATTATTTCCTCCTGTAACTTGAACATGCTCGTGTCTTGGCTAGGTCACCAGAAGCAAAATGCTTTAGACTGCATGATGAGGGAGACGTATCCATGCATGGTACAACTGGTGGCTCGTCTGGTTTCTTGTGTTTTTACTGGGCTCCACCCCTGTCGTTAAAAGACTCCTCCGGTGCAGTATGGGTGGTAGTTCCATGATGCTTTACTTGGGGTGCTACTTCACTACTCTATTGGTGTGCTTGTGAACTGTGTTGTTGTCGGTTCTGTTTGTTAAATCATGTATCATTTCCTTGAGGGAAAATGATACGACATTCTGTGCTCTGATATGATGTTGCTTACAGTTTCGCACAGTCATTACATGTGTGGTTGTTTTCTTGGGCCATCTCAGATAGTTAAATATCTTCTGTTCTTGTTGTTTTCCCTGTAAAAATATCTTAAGAGTGATCAAGGTTGATTGTGTTCCATTTTCATTTAGCGCTGACACATGGTAAAGCATTTTACATGCTGCGTTCTGGAATACTTCTCTGGAGCATCTTAATTATCGTTTGAACTGTACACATTAATACTTGTTCCTTTTTATGCATTATATGTGGATATTGGTGATTTCGGAAATTTTCGGATGTTCTCTCTTTTTAAGGATATGTATCGAGGAAGCAGAGAGCAGTTTTGTGCAGCTGTCCTGCAAATCTGGGCGATGGCAGTTAATTTAAGATCTTCATGTGGTTTGTTGTATGATATCTGAAGCATCTACAGTACTACACAACACCAACTGCAAAGTAGTGACACTGAAATTTCTAGGACAGAAGGTGAACATCATTAGCTCGTGCAGTGCCACAAAAGAAATACTAGGATCGCAAGGCAGGAAACCCTCTCGGGTCCGAGAATTCTGATGAGATGCTGGTTGGAAGTTTGAAACATGTTCGTCATATTGCAGGACACAGGGTTGATGAAGATTAGCCAAAATTGTTCGAGATGGACACGTTGGGGCTTGGGGATCTGTGGTGCAAAACTGCTAACCGACAAGATCATCCTCTTCTTTACATGGTGGCTATGTCCTGTCTGGGTTGAATATTTTGCTTGCTAGAGTACCCGAAGTATCGCTGCACGCTCCAACTCAAACTCAACCTATGTAAGTCATGTACTCCCTCCATCCCAAAATATAAGAACGTTTTTAACACTAGCATAGTGTTAAAAATGTTCTTATATTCTGGAACAGGGGGAGTACTTCAAGACGTATATAAAATAGATAAATAGACAGAAGATATCACAGGGCAGCATGGCATTGGCGAAGCAACCTAGGTATGGAGCCGCGTACATGAACTCGCCACCTTAGGTGTGGCTCGCCGTCGTTTGGGTCAGGCAAGACTGTGCAATGACAGCTTAGCGGCTGACGTCACGCGCTTGATGGAGCGTGCGGAGACAATTATGCAAGACTGCACAATGTTGTTGACAAATATTTGCACAATTATTATTTTGCATCTGTAAATCACTTGGCAAATATTTGTCAAGCTGCAAATATGAGTTTTATTCACGATAAAGCCATTTACATTCGCGTTCCATCCACAACGCATATCTCCACCGTCCAAAGCTGCTCATGATGGAAAGATGCATGTGAGAAAGCTGACATGGGCACCTGCAACCGTGTCCTTTTTTTTCGCATGCATGTCAGGTAGTAGGTGCATATAGGCGCTAGATTCTTGCATGTCCAACAATAATCTGCAGCCCAATTGCGTGAGTAATTCCCCTGATTATCTTTGATGATGGCTGTAGACCGGCACACAAACATGATTTAAATGCCACAAAAATTAAATATCTTGTTGTTTAAATCGGTTTGGAAGAACGTTCTTTAAATAATTTCAAAGAGAACCAAACTTTGTTAAATTGGTCTCTGAACTTTACCATGAAAAACAGAAGAACTTTTGAAAAACTTTGGCATATCTCATAACTGTTGAAAAATAGTCAGAATACTTTATTAACTCTTCTTTTGAACTTTACCTTCAAAACTCAAAGAACTTCAGGTTTTTACTGGTTTTTTCAAAAGTTCTTCTGATTTTCATGGTTAAGTTCAAACAGGAACTTATAGAGTTCTCTGACTTAATACTTGTGAAAAGGGCGCATATGATAAAATTAGCAACTATAGTATTATTTTGTTCACCCCCACAGTAATTAGCAACATCAGTTATGCATAACAATTCAAATTAAGGAGCTGGCCCGCCATCTAAAAGTGAGCATGGGAGGAAAAAGGACGCATGACATGCACAGGAAAAGCTGACATGCAGAATACTAGCCTGTGGCCTCAGCGTCTAAGTGGACCCACCACGTCCTTTCTTTGCATGCAACACTGATCCAAATGCATGAAACAACGACGTGGATTTCCGCTGCAATGGAACGTGAACGGAAAAAACCGCGTCCTTTTATTCGAGAAAACAAGGTGCTTGTTTCCCTTCTGCGTTATTTTTGGGTGAGGTTTTTTGCAAGAGCTTTTATGAATTGGGAATGTTCTGCAAAACGTTTTCTTTGTTCATGACAAAATCAGTGTAGATTTTTTTATGTGCAAGCTTGCCATTTATACAATTAATAATTTTGTTCATGTAATCCTTATTGTTCGCAAATCAACATTTTTTTAGCAAAATACAGATAACAACAAATGTTTGGGACAACATTGCACATGACCACAAACCATATTTCATCATGCATGCCCAGTGATCAATGTTGCCAGTGATACACGGCACATAAATTCAAAAAAAGAAAAGAAAGATGATGCACGGCACAGCATTGGTGAACCAACCCGTGATATCAGTTGGATTCCGGAGCAGCCTCAAACCTTGGCATTGTCGTCGTTGCAGACCTCTTTGTCATCGTTAAGAGTGTAATGCTTCAGAAGTGGATTGTGAGGCAAAAACTCTTCGCGCCGGAGCTTCCTGTGTTGCTCCCTCAACCCCTCAATAAAGGCTTTACTCTCAGCTTCTGAGAGTGGCTCATCATCGCTGAAACCGTCATCAGAGTCTGCTTCTGCTACTTTGATGGCCTGCTCTTTGGTCTCATCAAATGGTTGAGTCGGCCAGAACAGTATCTTCCTCGTCATGCCCGTCGGCCGGCACCTTCCTTTTGGCGGAGCAGATCTTCAGCGAACACTCCTGCTCCCCTGTGGCATCCTTCATGCTCTGGGCTGCGCGCTGCTTGAACTGAAACTCCTTATGCACCTCATCTTATGTTTCCTGCATAGTTCCTAAAAATGGATAGCACCCAGTAATAATCATACAATACAGAGTAACACCAATCGACCATGTGTCAGTCGCTCTACCATGTGGTAAGCTGAACCTACAGTCAAAGAGAGAAAATGGTTTATCATATTGAGCAGCTGCTACCAATGGCCATGGAATATCTGATAACTTGAAGCAATGGCCAAGGAATATCTGGTAATTCGAAGCAAGGGCAAAGGAACCAGCATTGTTGCATTATTCCTTATTCACGTCACACTTCATAACCAAAGTATGCACAACATACAAGAAACCATCACAAAAACAAGCATAACTGAAGAATTCTGAACCCCTTTCAACATACACCATACGTCTCCGGATTGAGAGAAAAACAACACATGTCACAAGACATGGCATAGCTATAGAAATTCATCAAAAAATATACAGGTCAGTTTGGCTCTTACACCAGCAAAAATGACACTGGCTATGCCGTTAAGGTGATAGTCGAATACAAATCCATCCTCACTAGAAGCCAATGTCAGGAATCAAATTGGCATCACATAAACATGGCTAGTTTATCTTCTTCACGTGTTTCTCTTTGGTTGCTATGCATGCTCATGACCCTCCCTTGGTGGATGTTGTGTTGTGGCGAGCTTCGGGCTCTTGGTGTCGTCTCGGCTCACCGTTGCTCAATGACGACGCAATGACACCCCCCCAATTTGCTAATCGTCTTGAACTTTCATGGCAGAGCTCTCAGTCAAGGTTCGTGTTAAGTTTTGACACTTGTTGATTGTGAATGCTCCTCTGTTGTGCCGTGGAGTTTGATACGCACGCCGGTGCGGTGCGTTAGGCTGCTTGTAGAGTCTTGGTATTGTGATCCCTCGACGTACCCCTCATCTACTTGGTCCTGTTAGTCTGCTAGTTAGGTCATGCCTTTTGTTGGGCGTCCCTGTTCTTCTCTTCTTGTAACACTTGTTGCTTGTACGGTTTTCGGCCCGGTTTTTTTTATAAACGGGGTCAATTTATTAAGGTTTTCGATCCGGTTTTTCTTATAAACTAGATCACTCTCCTGGCATTATGGCCACTTTGAGTAATATATTCAGGTGGAGGAACTCCTCCGCCGGTGATTCTCAAAAAATAAAAAATAAACATGGCTAGTTAATAAGATATCAGCAACCACACTGGCCGTTGCCAAAAGGCATCACATATTGCACTCAACACTATAATCAGCTAAAAAAGGCCACTCTTGTGCCACTGTGCAATGATACAAAATATGACTAATGGAGAACCGAATTTAAACATATAACCTCCATCCCAAATTACAATGTGTCTAGATACATTGATATCTAGACAAATATAAGACAAGTAATTCGGGACGGAGGGAGCAGTATATTTATGTCAGCCTAACTTCATAACAAGCTCAAATTATCATGAAGATGTATCTACGAGAAAAGACTGACATTATTTTCGTGAGCTAGGTGATCCACCATGCACATTAATATGAAATCCACAGTAACAAGGACATGTACTCTTTCAGAACAACAGAAAACGAAAACTCCTGGTTGGGAAAAATAATAACCAGCAGGCATAATCGGGTGGTCCAAGAATCATACACTTCCAGATGATTACCCAATCAGCAAAGCAAAAACGGGGAACCTCTTGTGCAAGACAAAAAATAAGATTGTACCAATGGATAATATAGTTTCAATATACTACTAGTAAATTAACATACATGCATT